GGGGAGAGCCGGGAGCGGGCCCCGGGGCACCGGGAAAGCGGGATACCGGGATAACGGCACCGGGATACCGGGATAACGGCACCGGGATACCGGGAACAGCGCGGTAACGGCAGCGGGAGCACAACGGCACCGGGAGCACCGGAACATCCGGGATACCGGGACCGCCGCCATGGTGGGGGGGGGGGGGGGGGGGGGGCCTCTGAGGAGGGAGGGAGGGAGGGAGGGAGGGAGGGAGGGAGGGTGGGTCATGTGGAGGAGCGATCATGTGCCCCCATGGTGTCATGTGACCGACAGACCGACCTAACCATGGTCTGTCCACATCCTGAACTCAGACCCACAGCGACTCCCATGGACACACCCCCCCCCAGCCCCATAGCGACCCCCGTGTGACTTCCAGCCCCATAGTAACCCCTGTGTCCCCCCCAGCCCCATAGCGACCCCTGTGTGCTTTCCAGCCCCATAGCGACCCCCGTGTGACTTCCAGCCCCATAGCAAACCCTGTGTCCCCCCCAGCCCCATAGCAAACCGTGTCCCCCCCAGCCCCATAGCGACCCCCGTGTGCCTTCCAGCCCCATAGCGACCCCCCTGTTACCCCCAGCCCCATAGTGACCCCCGTGTGCCTTCCAGCCCCACAGCCACCCCTCTGTCTCCCCCCAGCCCCATAGCGACACCTGTGTGCTTTCCAGCCCCATAGCGACCCCCGTGTGACTTCCAGCCCCATAGCGACCCCTGTGTGCTTTCCAGCCCCATAGCGACCCCCGTGTGACTTCCAGCCCCATAGCAACCCCCGTGTGACTTCCAGCCCCATAGCAACCCCCGTGTGACTTCCAGCCCCATAGCGACCCCCGTGTGACTTCCAGCCCCATAGCGACCCCCGTGTGACTTCCAGCCCCATAGCGACCCCTGTGTGCTTTCCAGCCCCATAGCGACCCCCGTGTGACTTCCAGCCCCATAGCAACCCCCGTGTGACTTCCAGCCCCATAGCCACCCCCGTGTGACTTCCAGCCCCATAGCGACCCCCGTGTGACTTCCAGCCCCATAGCGACCCCCGTGTGACTTCCAGCCCCATAGCGACCCCCGTGTGACTTCCAGCCCCATAGCGACCCCCGTGTGACTTCCAGCCCCATAGCGACCCCCGTGTGACTTCCAGCCCCATAGCGACCCCCGTGTGACTTCCAGCCCCACAGCGGACCCCCGTGTGCCTTCCAGCCCCATTGTGACCCCCGTGTGCCCCCCAGCCCCATAGCGACCCCCGTGTGACTTCCAGCCCCACAGCGGACCCCCGTGTGCCTTCCAGCCCCATTGTGACCCCCGTGTGCCCCCCAGCCCCATAGCGACCCCCGTGTGACTTCCAGCCCCACAGCGGACCCCCGTGTGCCTTCCAGCCCCATTGTGACCCCCGTGTGCCCCCCAGCCCCATAGCAACCCCCGTGTGCCTTCCAGCCCCATAGCGACCCCCTTGTTACCCCCAGCCCCATCGTGACCCCCGTGTGCCTTCCAGCCCCATAGCGACCCCCCTGTCTCCCCCAGCCCCATAGCGACCCCCGTGTGACTTCCAGCCCCATAGCAAACCCTGTGTCCCCCCAGCCCCATAGTGACCCCCGTGTGCCTTCCAGCCCCATAGCGACCCCCCTGTTACCCCCAGCCCCATAGCGACCCCCATGTGACTTCCAGCCCTGTAGCGACCCCTCTGTCCCCCCCCAGCCCCATAGCGACCCCCGTGTGCCTTCCAGCCCCACAGCCACCCCTCTGTCTCCCCCCAGCCCCATAGCGCCCCCTGTGTGCCTTCCAGCCCCATAGCACCCCCCATGTGACTTCCAGCCCCATAGTGCCCCCCGTGTGCCTTCCAGCCCCATAGCGACCCCCGTGTGCCTTCCAGCCCCATAGCAACCCCTGTGTGCCTTCCAGCCCCACAGCGACCCCTCTGTCCCCCCACAGATCCACAGCAACTCCTGTGTCCCCTTCCAGCCCCATAGCAACCCCACAGCGGCTCCCACGTCCACCCCAGCCCCATAGCAACCCCCAGCCCCACAGTGACCTCCATGTCACCCCCAGCCCCCTAGTGACCCCTGTGTGCCTTCCAGCCCCACAGCGACCCCTCTGTCCCCCCCCAGCCCCATAGCGACCCCCGTTTGCCTTCCTGCCCCACAGTGACCCCTGTGTGCCTTCCAGCTCCACAGCGACACCTCTGTCCCCCCCCAGCCCCATAGCGACCCCCGTTTGCCTTCCTGCCCCACAGTGACCCCTGTGTGCCTTCCAGCCCCATAGCAACCCCTGTGTGCCTTCCAGCTCCACAGCGACACCTCTGTCCCCCCGCAGCCCCATAGCGACCCCCGTGTGCCTTCCAGCCCCATAGCGACCCCTCTGTCCCCCCCCAGATCCACAGCAACCCCTGTGTCCCCTTCCAGCCCCATAGTAGTCCCCCAGCCCTGCAGTGACTCCCACGTCCACCCCAGCCCCATAGCGACCCCCACCCCCACAGTGACCCCCATGTCACCCACAGCCCCATAGTGACCCCCATGTGCCTTCCAGCCCCACAGCGACCCCTTTGTCCCCCCCAGCCCCATAGCGCCCCCAGCCCCACAGCGACTCCCATGTCCACCCCAACCCCATAGCGACCCCCAGCCCCACAGCAACCCCCATGTCCCCCCAGCCCCATAGCCACCCCCATGTACCCTCCAGCCCCACAGCAACCCCTATGACCCCCGCAGCACCACAGCGACCCCCATGTCCCCTCCAGCCCTGCAGTGACCCCCATATCCCCCGCAGCCCCACAGCGAACCCCATGCCCCCTCCAGCCCCATAGCAACCCCCCAGCCCCACAGCGACTCCCACGTCCACCCCAGCCCCATAGCGATCCCCAGCCCCACAGCACCCCCCATATCCCCCCCCCCAGCTACCCCAGCCCCACAGCGCCCGCTGTCCCCGCAGATGCGGTTCATGCTGCTGTTCAGCCGGCAGGGGAAGCTCCGCCTGCAGAAGTGGTTCCTGGCCACGGCCGACAGGGACAAGAAGAAGCTGGTGCGGGAGCTGATGCAGGTGGTGCTGGCGCGCAAGCCCAAGATGTGCAGCTTCCTGGAGTGGAGGGACCTCAAGGTGGTTTACAAGAGGTGACAGCACCCGAACCGGCACCAAAACCCCTGACACCGACCCAAAAACACCTGAAATCCACCCAGAAACACACAAAAACACCTGAAATTCACCCAAAAACACATGAAATCCACCCAGAAACACCCAAAAACACCTGAAATTGACCCAGAAACACCCAAAACACCTGAAATCCACCCAGAAACACCCAAAAACACCTGAAATCCACCCAGAAACACACAAAACACCTGAAATTCACCCAAAAACACCTGAAATTGACCCAGAAACACCCAAAAACACCTGAAATCCACCCAGAAACACCCAAAACCACCTGAAATTCACCCAAAAACACCCAAAACACCTGAAATCCACCCAGAAACACCCAAAAACACCTGAAATCCACCCAGAAACACCCAAAAACACCTGAAATTCACCCAGAAACACCCAGAAACACCTGAAATTCACCCAGAAACACCTGAAATCCACCCAGAAACACCCAAAAACACCTGAAGTCCACCCAGAAACACACAAAAACACCTGAAATTGACCCAGAAACGCCTGAAATCGGCCCTGAAACACCCAACACCACCTGAAATTCACCCAGAAACACACAAAAACACCTGAAATTCACCCAGAAACACCCCAAAACACCTGAAATCCACCCAGAAATACCCCAAAACACCTAAAATTCACCCAGAAACACCCAAAACACCTGAAATCGACACAGAAACACCCAAAAACACATGAAATTCACCCAGAAACACCCCAAAACACCTGAAATCCACCCAGAAATACCCCAAAACACCTAAAATTCACCCAGAAACACCCAAAACACCTGAAATCGACACAGAAACACCCAAAAACACATGAAATTGACCCAGAAACGCCCAAAACCACCTGGAATTCACCCAGAAACACCTGAAATTCACCCAGAAACACCCAAAAACACCTGAAATCAACCCAAACCCACCTGAAATCGACCCAGAAACGACCAAAGCCACCTGAAATCGGCCCTGAAACACCCAAATCCACCTGAAATCGACCCCAAAACACCCCAGAAACACCCAGCCCCCCCTGAAATTGAACCAAAACCACCTGAAATCGACTCAGAAACACCCAACCCCCCCTGAAATCGACCCAGAAACACCCAAAACTACCTGAAATTGACCCCAAACCACCCCAAAATTACCTGAAATATCCCCAAAAACGCCCCAAAACCACACAAACCAAACCAAAATCACCCAAAAACTACTAAATCTACCCAAAACCACCCAAACCAGCTCAGAAACACCTGAAATCACCCCCAAACCAACTCAAACCAACCCAAACCCACCTGAAATAGACCCCCAAAACCACTTGAAATAGACCTAAAAACAACCAAACCAACCCCAAAACACCTGAAATCACTCCAAAACCAACCCAAACCCACCTGAAATCGACCCCAAAACACCCTAGAAATACCTGAAATAGACCCCAAAACTCCCCAAAACCACCCAGCCTAATCCAAAACCACCTAAAATCAATCCAAAAACACCCAACCTACCCAAAATCACCCCAAAACCCACTAAAATCTACCCCAAAACCACCCAAACCAACCCCAACGCACTTGAAATTGACCCAAGAACACCCAAACCAGCCCAGAAACACCTGAAATCACCTCAAAACAACCTGAAATCACCCCCAAACCAACCCAAACAACCCCAAAACTACCTGAAATCGACCCAAAACCACCCAAGCCAACCCCGAATCACCCCAACCGCCCCTGAAACCAACCCTGAACCACCCCAAAACCACCTGAAACCAACCCAGACCAACTCAAAATCACCCCAAGCCCACTTGAAATCAACCCAGAAACACCACAAAGCCACCCCAACCAACCCCAAAACACCTGAAATCAACCCAAAACCAACCCAAACCCCCCTGAAACCAAGCTAAAATCACCCCAAAAACACTTGAAACCACCCCAAACACACCAAAAACCACTCCAAACCATGGGTTTGGGATATTTTGGGGTGGTTTTAGGGTGCAAAGTAGGTTCCATCACCCCACACCGTGGTTTTTGGGTGGATTTAGGTGGTTTAAGGTGGTTTTGGGGTGGTTTTAGGGTGCAAGGTGGGTTCCAGCACCACATGCCATGGGTTTGGGGTGGTTTTAGGGTGTTTTAGTGTGGTTGGGGGGGGTTCTAGGAGTAGGTAGGGGTGGTTTTAGGGTGCAAGGTGGGTCACAGCACCCCACACCATGGTTTTGGGGTGGTTTTGAGTGGTTTAAGGTGGCTTCAGGGGAGTTTTGGGGTGTTCTGTGATGGTTTTAGGGTACAAGTTGGGTTCCACCATGGGTTTGGGGTGGGTTTAAGGTGTTTTTAGATAGTTTAAGGTGAGGGTTTTGGTGGTTTTAGGGTGTTCGGGGGGGTATTTGAGGGTGTTCAGGGGGTATTGGGGGGGGTGAGGGTGTTTTGGGGATGTTTTGGTGTGGTTTAGGGTGTTTGGGGAGTGTTTTGGGATGTTCTGGGTGTGTTTTGGGGTGGTTTAGTGTGTTTTAGGGTGTTTGAGGATGTTCTAAGGGTGGTTTGGGAGTGGTCTTGGGGTGTTTTTAGGGTGTTTTGGGGTGTTTGAGGGTATTTTGGGGTGGTTTGGGGTTTTTGGGGATGGTTTGGGGTGTTTGAGGATGTTCTGGGTATGTTTTGGGGTGGTTTAGTGTGTTTTAGGGTGTTTGAGGATGTTTTAAGGGTGTTTTGGGGTGGTTTGGGAGTGGTTTTAGGGTGTTTTGGGTGGTTTAGTGTGGTGTTTTAGGGTGTTTGAGGGTGTTTTGGGGTGTTTGAGGTGTTTGGCGATGGTTTGGGGTGTGTAAGGGTGTTTGAGGATGTTCTGGGTGTGTTTTGGGGTGGTTTAGTGTCTTTTAGGCTGTTTGAGGATGTTTTAAGTGTGGTTTGGGAGTGGTTTTGGAGTGGTTTAGGGTGGTTTGGGAGTGGTTTTGGGGTGGTTTAGGGTGGTTTGGGGTGGTTTAGTGTGGTTTGGGGTGTTTGAGGGTGTTTTGGAGGGTGTTTTTGGGTGTTTTAGGGTGGTTTGGGGTGTTTGAGGGTGTTTTGGAGGGTGGTTTTGGGTGTTTTAGGGTGGTTTGGGGTTTTTGGGGTGGTTTGGGGTGTTTTGGGGTGTTTTAGGGTGGCTTTGGGGGTGTTTTGGGGTGGTTTAGGGTGTTTTGGAGTGTTTTGGGGTGGTTTAGGGTGGTTTAGGGTGTTTTGGGGTGTTTTCACGTGTTTTGGGGCTGTTTGAGGGTGTTTTAGGGTGGTTCTGGCTCCAGCCCCCCCATCCCTGCTGCCTGCCCCCCAGGTACGCCAGCCTCTACTTCTGCTGCGCCATCGAGGGGCAGGACAATGAACTCATCACGCTGGAGCTCATCCACCGCTACGTGGAGCTGCTCGACAAGTACTTCGGCAGCGTGAGTGGGGTGCCCCATAGACACCCCATAGACACCCCATAGACACCCTATAGACACCCCATAGATACCCCATAGACATCCCATGGACACCCTATAGACATCCCATAGACTTCCCATAGACATCCCATAGACATCCCATAGATACCCGATGGACACCCCATAGACACCCCATAGACACCCTATAGACATCCCATAGACATCCCATAGACACCCCATAGACACGCCATAGACATCCCATGGACACCCCATAGACATCCCATAGACTTCCCATAGATACCCCATGGACACCCCATAGACACCCCATGGACAACCCATAGACACCCCATGGACACCCCATAGACACCCCATGGACAACCCATAGACACCCCATGGACACCCCATAGACACCCCATAGACATCCCATAGACACCCCATAGACTTCCCATGGACACGCCATAGACACCCCATAGACATCCCATGGGCACCCCATGGACAACCCATACACTTCCCATAGAAACCCCATGGACACCCCATAGACACCCCATGGACATCCCATTGACATCCTATAGACACCCCATAGAGACCCCATGGACACCCCATGGATACCCTATAGACACCCCATAGACCCCCCATAGACATCCCATGGGCACCCCATAGACACCCCATGGACAACCCATAGACACCCCATGGGCACCCCATAGACATCCCATAGACAGCCTATAGACATCTCATGGACACCCCATTGACATCCCATGGACACCACATAGACACCCCATAGACATCCCATTGACACCCCAGGGACACCCGTGGGCACCCCAATAGGCACCATAAGCACCCGCCTAGGCACCCCATAGACACCCCAATGGGCATCCCCAATGGGCACCCTCATTGGCACCCCGATGGACACCCCCAGGGACGCCCCATTGAGCACCCCATGGAAACCACCATTGGCACCCCCATGGGCACCACAGGCACACCCCCAGGAGCACCCAATGGCCACCAGGATCACCCCACAGATACCAGGCCCACCCCAAAATCCATCCCATGGTCCTGGGCACACCCCAAGCTCCATCCCATGGGCATGGACCCACCCCAAGCTCCATCCCATGGTCCTGAACCCACCCCAAGCTCCATCCCATGGTCCTGAGCCCAGCCCAAGCTCCATCCCATGGTCCTGAACCCACCCCAAGCTCCATCCCATGGTCCTGGGCCCACCCCAAGCTCCATCCCATGGTCCTGAACCCACCCCAAGCTCCATCCGGTGGTCCTGGGAGCACCCCAAGCTCCATCCCGTGGGGCAGCAGGTCCATGGAGGGCTCTCCGGGCAGGTCTGCGAGCTGGACATCATCTTCAACTTCGAGAAGGCGTACTTCATCCTGGACGAGTTCGTGATGGGCGGCGAGATCCAGGACACCTCCAAGAAGAGCGTCCTCAAGGCCATCGAGCAGGCGGATCTGCTGCAGGAGGTCAGGGACCCCCTTCCACCCCTAGGGGGCACCCCACAGCACCCCTACAGAGCACCCTTATGGAGCATCCCATAGCACCCCTAGGGAGCACCCCAGAGCACCCCAGAGTACCCCTAGGGAGCACCCTTAAGGAGCACCCCATAGCACCCTTTGGGAGCACCCTTATGGAGCACCCCATAGCACCCCTAGGGAGCACCCTTATGGAGCATCCCATAGCACCCCTAGGGAGCACCCCAGAGCACCCCACAGCACCCCTAGGGAGCACCCCAGAGAACCCCATAGCACCCCTAGGGAGCACCCCAGAGCACCCCTATGGAGCACCCCATAGCACCTCTAGGGAGCACCCCAGAGCCCCCCATAGCACCCCTAGGGAGCACCCCAGAACACCCCACAGCACCCCTAGGGAGCACCACAGAGCACCCCAGAGCACCGCAGAGCAATCCTAGGGAGCACCCCACAGCAACCCTAGGGAGCACCCCTATGGAACACCCCATAGCACCCCTAGGGAGCACCGCATAGCACCCCATAGCACCCCTATGGAACACCCCATAGCACCCCTAGGGAGCACCCCACAGCACCCCTAGGAAGCACCCCAGACCAACCCTAGGGAGCAGCCCTATGGAACACCCCATAGCACCCCTATGGAGCACCCCTATGGAGCGCCCCATAGCACCCCTATGGAGCACCCCTGTAGAACACCCCATAGCACCCCTATGGAACACCTCTATGGAGCACCCCTGTGGAACACCCCATAGCACCCCTATAGAGCACCCCTGTAGAACACCCCATAGCACCCCTATGGAAAACCCCTGTGGAACATCCCGTGGCACCCCTATGGAGCACCCCTGTGGAACACCCTCAAACACCCCCAAGGGCCCCCCTAGACACCCCTATGGAACACCCCATAGCACCCCTATGGAACATCCCAAACCTCCCCTATGGAGCCCCCAAACACCCCTGTGGAACCCCCAGCACCCCTATGGAGCACCCATATGGAACCTCCAAACTCACCTATGGAATACCCCTATAGAACCCAACTACTCTCATAGACCCCCCCCATAGGATCCCCAGATCCCCTATAGACCCCCCATGATGTCCTGGTCCCCCACAAAGTCCCTTATAGCCCCCTAATACCCCTATAGCCCCCCCATAGGATCATGGTGCCCCCCCCAGATCCCCTATAGACCCCCCCATGATGTCCTGGTCCCCCACAAAGTCCCTTATAGCCCCCTTAATACCCCTATAGCCCCCCCATAGAATCATGGTGCCCCCCCAGATCCCCTATAGACCCCCTCTATGAGGTCCTCTTGACCCCCCCCCAAAGTCCCCTATAGGGGGGCCCTATAACCACTTTATGGGGACCTCTAACACCCCTATAGGCCCCCTGTAGGGTCTTGATACCCCCTTAAAGTCCCCTGTAGCCCACTGATGAAGTCCTGCTATACCCCAACATCCCCTATAGACCCCAGCTGCTCCCATACCCACCCCCCCATAGGACCACGGTGCCCCCAATATAGGGCCTTCTTGTGCCTTTTGCCCCCCCCCCCCATAAGTGGGCGCTGTCACCCCATATATAAGGGACCCCCATGTGTCATTTGGGGGGGGGGTCCCCTCTTTATGCCCCCCCCGTGGGTAAGCAGCACTCCATATATATAGGGCACCCCCATATATGTTTTGGGGGGGGTCCTCTCTTTATGCCCCCCCTTAGGTTGGTGCTGTCACCCCATACATAGGGGACCCCAGTATGTCATTTGGGAGGGGGGAGTTCCCCTTTATCCCACCCCTTCTGCCCCCCAAGCCCTAACCCATTTCCCCCCCCCATAGGAGGATGAGTCCCCCCGCAGCGTGCTGGAAGAGATGGGGCTGGCATAGCCCACCCGTATGGGGTGTGGGGGGACACCCCCATATTAATGCCCCTCCCCCCCCCCCATTCATCCACATGGGACCAACCCTGGACACAACAACAGGGAGGGGGAGGCACCCCAAAAGGCCCCCCACAAGCTGTAAATATATATATATATGGGGGGGCATCCCCTTATTGGGGGGGGGCAGCGCTTCAGGGTCCCTGTGCCCCCCCCCCCCCCCAATGGACCCTGTTTTTGGGGGGGGGGATCACAAGTGGGTGCCCCCACCCAAAGTGACCCTTTTTGGGGTGCTGGGGGGGGTGGTGACAGGGACCCCCCCCTTGTCCCTTGGGGGTTCCCTCCTTTGGGGGGGTCACTCATTTGGGGACCCCCCAATAATGGGACCATCCTCCTGCTGTCCCCCCTATGGAATAAAGCCTATGGAGCACCCCCCCCATGCTGAGTTCTTTTGGGGTGCTGTGTTATAGTGGGGAGGGGGGTCATGGGGCCAATATGGGGGTGTGGGAGGGCCCCCCCCAGGATCGAGGGTAACTCATACTAAAATAGTCGCTTTTATTCGATAGCAAAAGTCAATGATGGGGTATTTACAACCCCCCCCATGGGGGGGTCTCTAGGGCTAGAATGGGGGGGGGGTCCTAAGGATGGAGGGGGGGAGTCTAGGGCTGGAAGTGGGGCAATTCCAGGGATGAAACCAGGTTGGAATTGTGGGGGCAGGAGCTGGAATTGGGGGGCATAGGACATGGGGGGGGGGGCTCAGCAATGGGAACGGGGAGGAACACAACACCCGAGCAGGATAAATGGGGGAGTCCTAATTGGGGATGAGGGGGGGGGTTGTGCCCCCCCTATGGGAACCCCCTGGGGGGGCCCCCCAAAACCCTCTCCAGGTACCGCTGCAGCTCCCGATCCCGAAGAGGCGGCGGGGGCCGGCGCGGGGGGGGCAGGAAAGTCCGGCCTGGAATGTGATTGGAGATGGGAACGGGGCGGCTTTGGGGCTGGGGGGGGTGGATAAGGCGGGGGGGGGCCCCGATGGTGGCCTCTTGCTTGCGTTTCTGCTCCACGTCGTGGATGATGTCCACGACGTCGTCCGCGGGGAGGTGGAGTTTGCTGGAGAGCTCGATGAGTTGGTCAATGGTGCCGGGGTCCAGGTCGTCCACCTCGGCCGGATCCTGTGGCTGGAGCTCGTTGGATCCCATCGGGATCTCATTGGAACCCATCGGGATCTCATTGGAACCCATCGGGACCTCGTTGGAACCCATCGGGACGTCGTTGGTACCCATTGGGACGTCGTTGGTATCCATCAGGATGTCATTGGTACCCATCGGGATGTCGTTGGTACCCATCGGGATCTTGTTGCCTCTTGGGATCATCCCTCCTCTTGGGATCATCTCTCCTCTTGGGATCATCTCTCCTCTTGGGATCATCCCTCCTCTTGGGATCATCTCTCCTCTTGGGATCATCCCGCCTCTTGGGATCATCCCTCCTCTTGGGATCATCTCTCCTCTTGGGATCATCCCACCTCTTGGGATCATCTCTCCTCTTGGGACCACGCCGCCTCTCGGAAGGATCTCGTTGTCCTCCAACCCCCCGTTGCCTTCAAACCCATCGTTGCCGTCATCAAACCCATCGCTGCCGTCCCCCCCTTTCCCCTTCCCTCCCCGGTTCTCCTCGCCTCCATCCCCGGCTTCGAAGCCTTCCTCCATGCCCTCCCCATCGTCATCCTCGGGCTCGGCCTCTTCCGACCTCTTATCCTCAGCCGGCGCCGCACCGGGCCCTCGGAGCAGGTACCGCAGGAGCAGATCCGAGGCCAGGTCCGCCAATCGCTCCTCCTCGGCCGCCGCTTTCCTCGCCGCCTCCGCCTGCCTCCGGCTCTCGGCCAGCTCCTCGTAGCGCCGCTCGAGCAGGCGGTGCTCCAGGCTCTGCTGCTGCCGGAGCTGCCGGGAGCTCGGCCAGCCCCGTTCCCGGTCCCGTTCCCGATCGCGCTGCCGGTCCCGTTTGGCTTCGGCACGGAGCCGTCCGAGCTCTTCCAGGTCCTTCAAGACCTCGTTGTGGGCTCCCAAAGGAGCCGAGCGCTTGTTCAAGGCGTGGGGGGGAGCGGGAGAAGGGGGAGCCGGGGGGGGGCGAGGGGTGGGTTTGGGGTGGCTCTGCACCAAGAGGCTGATGGAGAGGAGCAGGGCGGCGCTGCGGAGGGGGCGGGCAGGGGCCGCCATGGAGCCTGTGGGGAGGGGAAGGGGGGGGACATAGGGGAGTGAGGGGGGGCACAAGAGGGATTCGGGGGTGGGGAAGACAGGGGGGATGTGGGGGGCACAGGAGGGATGGGGAGACAGGAGGAGGGATGGGGGGGGCACAAGAGGGATTCGGCGGTGGGGGGACAGGGGGGGATGTGGGGGGCACAGGAGGGATGGGGAGACAGGAGGAGGGATGGGGCGGCACAAGAGGGGTGGGGGGTGGGGGAGACAGGGGGGATGTGGGGGGCACAGGAGGGATGGGGGGTGGGAGGACAGGGGGATGTGAGGGGCACAGGAGGGATATAGGGGGCACAAGAGGGATGGGGGGGGGACAGGAGGGATGTGGGGGGCACAAGAGGGATGGGGGGTGGGGGGACAGGAGGGATGGGGGGGGGCACAGGAGGGATGGGAGGACGAGGGGGCACAGGAGGGATGTGGGGGGCACAGGAGGGATGTGGGGATGGGGGGGATGTGTGGGCCACAGGAGTGATAGGGGGGTTGGGGGGACAGGAGGGATGGGGGGCACAGGAGGGATGGGGGGGTGGGGGAGACAGGAGGGATGTGGGGGGCACAGGAGGGATGTGGGGATGGGGGGACAGGGGGGATGTGGGGGGCACAGGAGGGATGTGGGGATGGGGGAACAGGAGGGATGTGGGGGGCACAGGAGGGATGTGGGGATGGGGAGGGCACAGGAGGGATATGGGGGGCACAGGAGGGATGTGGGGGGCACAGGAGGGATGTAGGAATGGGGGAACAGGAGGGATGTGGGGGGCACAGAAGGAATATGGGGATGAGGAGGGATGAGTCCCAATGTGGGGCTCATCCCCCCCCCCCCAGTGCACCATCCCTATGTGCTACAGGGACCTTGTGTCCCCTATGGGACCCCCCCCGTGTGTGTCCCTCCATGGGATACCCCCTGTGCCCCCTCTCCATGATCCCCCCGGGACCCCCATGGGAACACCCCCATGTCCCCCCTCCCCACATCCCCATATCCCCCCCCCATATCCCCCTCCCCATGTTCTCCCCCCCCCCCCCGGGACACCCCCATTTTCTGGTTGATGCAATGATGGGGGGGGGGGGGACACACACGACACCGAGCTCAGTTTTGGGTGTAGCTGCCCCCCCCCCCATTTATGGGGCTCATCCACATCCCCTGCCCCCCCCCACCCGCCCCATCGCCATGTCCCACCTCTACCCCCAGGGTGCTGCAGTGATGGGGGGGGGTGCCCAAATGTTCCCCCCCCCCCCAGTTTTGGGGCTCACCCCCATGGTTTGCCCCCCCCCATCCCCATGCAGACCCTCCCCTAAGCCCCCGATGCCGGTTGATGATGGGGGGGGGGGAGGAGGTTGCATGTGCGAGGCGTGTGCGCACGCGTGTCCATACGAGCACATACATGTAACATGCGATGACGCGGCGTCACGACACACGGAAAGGGGGGGGGGGGGAGGATGTTGCGGGGTGACACACGCACCCCCCCATAGAACACACGCAAACACGCGTGTGCACCCCACAAACGCCCCCCCACCCAACCCCCCCCCCAACCCCTTTTCACACGCCCAAAACCCCATTTGGGAATGTGGGGGGGACACCCCTTCCAACCGCCCCCCCCCGCCCCCCAGTCGGGACCAATAACGGGGTTCGGGGGGGTCAAGCGCTATTTACCGGCTCCGGGGGGGTCTCTGCAGATCCGGGGTCTCTCCCTTCACCCCCCCACTTCTTCCAAATTGGGGGGGGGGGGGGGGGGGGATGGTTGGCGAGGGGGGGGGGGAGGGGGATTCGATGCGCAGTGCGGATGGGGAGGGGGGGGTCGCGATAGGGGGGGGTATCGCGATAAAGGGGGGGGGATCCCGATAAAGGGGGGGTCCCGGCCCTCGCCGCCGTCTCGCCCTTCAGCACCCTGGACAGCGGCGGCGCCGCCCCCTTTATACGCGCGGGGCCCCACGTGGGGGGTCGCCATTGACGTCAATGGCCCATTCATAAAATCCGGCCGGGCCTGGGAAAAAAGGGGGGGGGGTTTCGCGCATGCTCAGAGCGCCCCGCGCGGGGAGCTGCCGCGGGATGAATGAATGAGGGGGGATGAATGAATGGGGGGGGGGGGGGCGTTACACACACACCCCCCGTGCCCTATAGAGCCCCTGTGCTTACATAGAGCCCTATAAACCCCCCATGCCCATATACAGCCACCTACACACCCATAGACCCCTATACACCCCATATACACTCATAGACCCCTATACACCCCCTATACACACATAGACCCCTATACACCCCATATACACTCATAGACCCTATACACCCCCTATACACACATAGACCCCTACACACCCCCTATACACACATAGACCCCTATACACCCCATATACACTCATAGACCCCTATACACTCATAAACCCCTATACACCCCCTCCACACCCATAGACCCCTATACACACATAGACCCCTATACAGCCACCTACACACCCATAGACCCCTATACGCCCCCTATACATCCATAGACCCCTATACACATATAGACCCCTATACACCCCCTATACACACATAGTCCCCTGTACACCCCATATACACACAGTCCCCTATACACCCACTATACACACACAGACCCCTATACACCCCCTATACACACATAGTCCCCTATACACCCCATATACACACAGTCCCCTATACACCCCCTATACACACATAGACCCCTATACGCCCCCTATACACACATAGACCCCTCTACACCCCCTACATACACATATAGCCCCCCATATAACCCCCATATCTCTATACACACCCCCTACCCCCCCACACTCCTATACACACCCCCTATACACCCTCTCCCATACACACCCCCTCCATCCCCCCATAGTACCCCTCTTCACCCCCCTACACAATCCATACAGGCCCCATCGCACTGCACGTGCCCTATAGACACCCCCAAGGTCACCCTTGTGCACGTGTATCTATGGGGAGGGCGCACGTATGTGTCTATACGTGCCCCTATGCGTGTGCACGTATGTGCCTGTGTGTGTCTATACACACGCGTGTCTGCCTATAGGAGGGTACCGTCACATGCACACGCGTGTACACGTGTGGACGCGTGTTCCTATGGGGGGGAGCGCACATACACACGCGTGAGCGTCCCCTCAGCCTGCCTATATGTGCATCCATCCCCACATGCCCCTACACCCATGCACCTATAGGTCTCTCCAGCCCCCCCACCGCCCCTATAGGTCTCCCTATAGGTGCTCCCCCCCCCCCGCCAGCACTGCGGGAGGAGGTGACTCACCAATGCAGCTGTACTGGGGGGGGGGGTGAGTGTGTAGGTGATGGGGGGGGGGCCTTATAGAGCTCCGACGCCTCCCCCACCTATAGAGGGGGGGGGCGGGATGAGTCACTAATTGCTGCAGCTGCCTCAGCAACGGGGGGAGTATGGGGGGGTATAGGGAGAAAGGGGGTGGAGGGGGGGTGGGAAGGTGAATGGGGTATATAGGGAACAAGGGGGTGTATAGGGGTGGGAAGGTGAATGGGGTATATAGGGAACAAGGGGGTGTATAAGGGTGGGAAGGTGAATGGGGTATACAGGGAATAAGGGGGTGTATAAGGGTGGGAAGGTGAATGGGGTATACAGGGAATAAGGGGGTGTATAGGGGGTGGGAAGGTGAATGGGATATATAGGGAACAAGGGGGTGTATAGGGGTGGGAAGGTGAATGGGGTATATAGGGAACAAGGGGGTGTATAGGGGTGGGAAGGTGAATGGGGTATATAGGGAACAAGGGGGTGTATAGGGGTGGGAAGGTGAATGGGGTATATAGGGAACAGGGGGGTGTATAGGGGTGGGAAGGTGAATGGGATATATAGGGAATAAGGGGGTGTATAAGGGTGGGAAGGTGAATGGGGTATACAGGGAATAAGGGGGTGTATAGGGGGTGGGAAGGTGAATGGGATATATAGGGAATAAGGGGGTGTATAGGGGTGGGAAGGTGAATGGGGTATATAGGGAATAAGGGGGTGTATGGGGGTGGGTAGCTGAATGGGGTATATAGGGGACAAAGGGGTGTATAGGGGTGGGGAGGTGAATGGGGTATATAGGGAACAGGGGGGTGTATGGGGGTGGGTAGGTGAAGGGGGTATATAGGGAATAAGGGGGTGTATAGGGGTGGGAAGGTGAATGGGGTATATAGGGAACAGGGGGGGTGTATAGGGGTGGGAAGGTGAATGGGGTATATAGGGAACAAAGGGGTGTATAGGGGTGGGAAGGTGAATGGGGTATATAGGGAACAAGGGGGGGTATAGGGGGTGGGAAGGTGAATGGGGTATATAGGGAACAGGGAGGTGTATAGGGGTGGGAAGGTGAATGGGGGCATATATAGGGAGGAGGGGGCTGCCCAGCGA